TGTTTTTTAAGATAATATATTTTTTAATTATAAATTAATGTACAAAAAAATATTATAATCACTTAATATTATTAAAAGTAAAAAAATAAAATTGAAATTTATGAGATAATTATTAATTAAAAAATGTGACCACAAATTAAAAAATTAAAATGGATAAATTTGTCAATAAAATTAAAAAAAATTAATCCGCTAGTAGTTTGATACAAAAAATTACGTAAATTAATTTTTTTAATCCACTAGTGGTTTGGATCCTAACCACTATCAGTTAATCTCAAACCGTTAAATAAAAATTTTACCAAATACTTTATTTATAACAATTTCAAAATATATAAATTTATCAAATACCTATATTTAACAATTTAAATAAAACCATTACCCATTACTCCAAAACTACTGCACCAAACGAAACCATTGTCCCAATCGAAAACATGGAGCCTGGATTTACGCTGCCTTTATAATTGAATAATATAATAATATAGATACCCATCAATTTTATTTGATTTTGCAGGCCGACGTTGAAGGATTTTGATGGGACTAAATCACATGTGGTTGAAGCCAATGTTTTGAAAACCGATCCGGAGATCAAAACATTTTGATTTTTGGTTTTCGGTTTAATTAATTTAAATGATTTAACTGTTGAAATCATCAGTTTCTCCTCATATGAATAAATATAATATGGTGTGATGATCTAACAAGATAAGTGTAGTGGTTGGACTGGTTTGTCACTTTATCCATCACAATGGAAAATGCGTGTTCGTGGGCATCAAATGTTATTATCACATTTCTAAATCTTTTAAGTAACTTAATTTTTTAATTAATTTATATAAAAAATTATATTTATTATACTTTTAATTTATATATTTAAGATAAAAATTAAATTAACATTATATTAATTATAATGTGAAAGTTACTTATAAAAGAGAAGAAAGTTCGAGTGAGATTCTTTTATTCCTAAACATAAAATAATTAAAAATTTAAGCCACTCTCTTTTGTTGCAGAGGTTGTGTCCCAGTGGTAAAGGTGATGGAAAATACCCTATAAGTCTTGTGTTCGAAGCCTGCTGGTTGAATGGTTGAACGGTTTGTGATGATCTGAATGATTTTATTGGTTTTAAATAGTTCAAGCACTCTGATATGATTTTTAAAACATTGGTTGAAACCCTGAAAAATTAACACGTTGGTGGTATTCACATTTTCCACAATCCTTATCACCACGAGGTAGTTGCCCCGTCCCATCCCATCAAACAAAAAAAAAAAAAAAAACTTCAATCGTATCTCATACTCAGTTTTATAATCTTGTTTAACGATGTTTTGCGGTGACACAATTTGTCGTGAAAGGGGTAGGTGGGGGACGTGTCAGGGATCGCTACAACAAATTTGTCATATACTTTACACTTTTTTTCCACTTAGGTTCAATATTTTGTAGATATAAATCTCCATCGGCTATGGTTTACAATTGATGGATAATTAAGTTATATTTACACATATAAATAAGTCGTTAGAAAAAGAGAACTATAACTATACAATTTACTTGACCTAGATACACAAAAAAAATATTAATTATAATTTATAATTTGTGAGTATTTGAAGTTAAGATATATTTATACGTATTAAAAAAATTATAAAAAATAAAAAACTATACCTATAGAATTTTATTTGGCATAGGTAGATATCATAACCCAATTTTTGCTTGGCCTATTTTAATATTTTTACAAAATATATAAAAAAAAAAAAGAAAAAAAAAAGAGAGAAATCTTTGATTTTTCTAAATATTTTTGCTTGGCCGTTATTTGACTTAATTTTTGGCTATTGTGAGCAGTTGTTTCTAATTTTTTGTTTTGAAGTGTTCAGCTCTTACTGCTGTTTTGGGACTATAATATTTTACCATGGAGTATTTCTTATACTCCTTAATAATATCAATTGAATTTGATTTGTTGAAAAAAACAAAAACAATAACAAAAATATAACAAAATGATCTCTAAACCAAACTGGCACCTCTTAATGTGGAGATCTCATTCAATATTAATGTGTGGTGAGTGAAAAGATGAAAGGTTCCTCCCATCATGAGATTAGGGGTTTTATACAACATCTTGATCTACCATATATCCGAACGAATCTCACCAAATCTTAGAACTGGTTGGAAAAAAACCCAATAAATAAATAAATAAATAAATAACCTTGATTCACATTCTCTGGGGCCCGGGGGATCACACAGACATAATAGTTAAGTGTGATACAAGAACTATTTTTGACCGAAAGCAGCTCCTTAAAAGCTGTCCCATAGACCATAGTCCAATTAATGATGATAGTTGTATTGGTTCTCATTTGCTGACACCAAGGATGACCATTAAAGAGGGAAATATGTTCGATGATGATGACGTGAAGACATACTCTTTTCGTAACTAACGTGTAATATTCGCTCCATGATTGGAAAATTTTCTCTATATAGGGACGAGAGGCTCACTTGTCTGCTTTATCGCACTCTCATTTTGTGTACCAAAGGCCTAGAGGCTGCTAACAGTGGGTGTGGTTGTCATGGGTGATATAATGTTAACTAGAGTTCTGCCTGGTGGTTCTATAAACACCGGTATTCTTAGTGTCTCAAATCGGTATGATGTCGCACGCATGCCGACAATTGAAGAGGGACATAATTCAGCAGTGCTGATAGCAAGAGATGCTCGTCAAGAAGGCGTCATCCATCGTTTCAACTTCAGAAGGAGGGCGGATGGAGGCTATGCCAAGCAAACCATAACTGGTATGAGGCAATTCTTTGACCTTCATGGATTGCAAGCTGGGGATCAAATTAGGATCTATCTTGTGCAAGAAGAACTGAGATTACTTGGGAGAGTCATTCGCCACGCAGTTTATTCAATTGATTTTGAGAGGGGGCCTGTAGTCTAAATAGGTATATTTAGATTGGAATGTTCTTTTTTCTTTTTTTAATATAATTTTATGTATTGAGTCTTAATTTACGATTTGATCTATTAGGAGACAACCCCATCCAAGAGCCTGGAGTACAGTAAATATTTCTGGTTTTTTTTTTTTTTTTGGGTGGAATAAACTAATTTGATAGAAACCATTCCCTGGCTCCATGTGGATGCAGAATATTGGCTCTAGGCCTAGGTTGTAATGTTCTTTTGCTAAATTAATCAGTTAAATTCTCTATGACAATGATTTTTACATCCTGCTACAGTGATCACCGGCATGGCTTCATAACTTTTTCAACTCTATAGGACTGTTTGTGGACTAAAGGGCAAATTAACCTTTTAATAAATATCTTTCATTGATTGAAAATTTTGTAATAAAAGATATACGAAAATGTTAAATTCAACCTGGTCACATGAGGTGAAGCAGCACCACACTTTTTTTTTTACAAGGACAATGACTAAAAATTAAGAGTTAAAAATTAATATCTTATTTTTTGACAAAATTTAACTACTGATCAAGATACATTTCATCGATAATTCTTCTAAACTATAATAGCACCATTGGACCACGATTGGAGAATCTCACCGCCACACATTTGTACTTATGTGATATGTAGTTACCTTTTAAGGTGTCGCTTTTCAAAATGTCACTTCCGAGTTTGGGAGGTCCTATGATTCCACAATCTTTGATTCCACCCAGAAGGCAGAGCTGATTGGGATTTCAACTTAAAAAAGGGTCCTAAAAGCAGACACCAACCAATTCCAACTTGATTACCTGACTGCGACGTGAGCGTGCATGAGAATTTTATAATATATTTGATAGAAGTGAAGAGAAGTTGATCTTAATAATATTTTAAAGATAACTCAAAAAATAAGAACGTCTTGATGTTCGGCATATTTTGATTTTTATATTTTTATACTTATAAATATATTTATTTTATTTTATTAAGATAAAAAATGATGTCTCACTATGATAATACATAAACATTAGGTCA